TAATGACGCGTTTCGCCCCATAGAAACTCAGAACTGTATTAAAGGCTGGTGAGCTTACCGGGATATCTGCAAACTACAGAGCTTGTTTTTATGTTTTTATTTGGAATAAAGTTTGTTACATCTTTAAGTTTTGTGGCTGCAAGTGTGTCCATAGGATCCCATGCACTAGGATCCCACTTCTCCTGGAAGAGCCACTATTTGGGGAAACGCGCGTTGGGACAGATTTAGCAGTGGTTGGCAGTGAGACTAGGGATGATGCTGCAGCTATGTTCTAAGATGAAGACAAGCCACCATGCTTTGATTTTAGTATAAGATCTTTACTTATAATTATATTTATTTTTCTTTATATTTTTTGTTGCTGTGGGTGAGCTGGAAAGGGGTTTGTTTCACTTCATGGTAAACGTGTCTGGGACTCCGGGAGGCTTGGAGGTTTAGACTTTTTTTAAGGGGTGCCCTCGAAGGCACGTTAGGACATAGGTTTTGGCTATCTTACAGTCCTTTACCTATTTATACCCCTACCTTCCTAGTATTTATCCTTTATCTGCGATTTTGCAGCCAGTACTGATTTTCTTTCCCCTCCTCCCCCCCTTTTTGTCAGCAATATCCACTTTTTAGTTACTTTTTTTTTTTTGTTAGCACTATTTATTTAGAAATTAGGACTTATTTGTAAATACTTTCCAAACCCACACGTTGGAGTTTTTTTTATTATATTATATTTATTAAAGGTTATTTTTTTTCATAATTTGTTTCTGAGTTGCTTCTCTGTCTCTATAGGTCAGGCTCGTGAGGTTTGAAATAGTTTCTACCTTCAATCCTCCCCTTGTTATCCAACTGAAATAACTATTATCCTCGTTATTGTCCTTGATATTGGAGTTGCCTATGTGGAATTATCTTGCATATACTGTGTGGCAGGGTCAGAGAGACTTTTTATGTTAGTAATAGATTGGAGCTCTCTCTATTCCCAGCATGATGGGGTTAATTGGTGGGAGTCACCCCTTGAATGTTATCAACCAGGTGAATGTCATTAACCAGCACTAGGGTTTTAAAAGGTTAGCCTCTGAAGACATCAGGGAATCTAACAGCTGGTAGAGAGGAGGCAGTTAAGCCTTAGACTCTGAGAAAAAGGTACTGTGTGAAACCTGCTTAAAGTGCTGTATTTCATGTTGTTTAAAACTGGGAACCAGATTAGCTGGCCGGTTGAATAGTTAGTAATACTGTTGTTTAGTAAGTCTCCAAGTTGGAGTAGGATTTATTTTCTTTTTGTTTTATTTTTGTGGGAGAGCACAACCTTGTATATATTGTGGAAAGTGACAATAAACTGCAGTATTATTTTATCCTGACTGTTGCATTTGAAGTTTATTGTGAAGAGCCTGGTCATCCTGCCACAACTGATATGTTGATATTGTAAGCTGTGAAGCTGTGGTCAGTTATCATCCACTTGAAGAATGACCCCCAATTTTTGGGTGGTGGAGGATTTCTGTCACATTCTGGTGCTCCATTCTTGAGAACTGCAATTGGCAGCTTTCTCGGAAAAAAACCTGTGTTAAACAGAACATTTGCCCAATACTTCTTCAACTCTCCATAATCCACCTCTATTTTAAGTTTGAAAAGTGGAAATGAACATTCAAAACACGCAACTATTTTGATATCTTACCATTCAAATTCAGTTCACATTCGGTCAACCAAATGTGAACCGAATTTGAATCGTAAAATACCAATCTTTTCTGTAGTAAACAAATTTATAGAAAATATTTATATTATGTATATATTTTGCAGCACACTGATTGGCCAGTTTTAATTTTTTCTAACACTTATTGGTTGATAATCTGATGTTTTTCCCTGAGTAATGCCCGGAACAGCACTAATACCATGAAAAAATATATACTACAAGCTGTGCTAGTAAATTGCAAGAAGAATTGTTATCATTTTACGAGTAAACCAGCTAGTTAATCAACCCACTTAATGTTTTGCTTTGGGATTTTACAGTAGTACATATAAAAATATAAAATATACGAGTTATTTATTCTTAAGAAACACATTTTCTAAATCAGGGCTGTCCAACCTGCGGCCCCCAGATGTTGCTGAGCTACAACTCTCATGATATCCTGGATATCTGTTCCATTGAAATATTCATGGAAGTTGTAGTAAACTATGAATATGGTATTGCTATTCAGAATTTGTATTACATAGAAACATAGAAACAACGAATGTGACGGCAGATAAGAACCATTCGGCCCATCTAGTCTTCCCAATTTCTAAATACTTTCATTAGTCCCTGGCCTTATCTTATAGCTATGATAGCCTTATGCCTATCCCACGCATGCTTAAACTCCTTTACTGTGTTAACCTCTATCACTTCAGCTTAAAGGCTATTCCTCGTATCCACTACCCTCTCAGTAAATTAATATTTCCTGATATTATTTTTAAACCTTTGCCCTTCTAATTTAAGACTAGGTCCTCTTGTTGTGGTAGTTTTTCTTCTTTTAAATATAGTCTCCTCCTGTATTGTGTTGATTTCCTTTATGTATTTAAATGTTTCTATCATATCCCCCCCGTCTCGTCTTTCCTCCAAGCTATACATGTTAAGTTCCTTTAACCTTTCCTGGTAAGTGTTATCCTGCAATCCATGAACCAGTTTAGTAGCCCTTCTCTGAACTCTCTCCAAAGTATTAATATTAGAGTTGAGCGAACACGAACTGTAAAGTTTGGGTTCGCACCGAACATTAAGTTTTTTGGACCCTGGACCCGAACACGGACATATCACTGTATGTTCGGGTTGGAGTTCGGTGTTCGGCAATTTAATGGCGCGTTTTCAAAGGCTGCAGGCAGCCAATCAACAAGCGTTTGACTCGTGTGCCCTTAGAAGCCATCACTGCCATGCCTACTAATGGCATGGCTGTGGTTGGCCAGTGCAGCATGTGACCCAGCCTCTATATTTAAGCTGGAGTCGCGTAGCGCCGCACGCACATGAGGTCTTATTAGTATAAGGAGAGGATGCTGCCGCTGATAGGGACAGCTTAGGAAAGAATTCTGCAAACTAGTGCATTAGTGGGTGCACTTCATATCTGAGAGTCAAATAGAATCTTCAAATACTGCTTCCACATTGCATTTTTAAAAATTAAAAAATTTTGGGTGCTAAACTGCTAAATAGTATTTTACTGGGGTGCACTTCATATCTGAGAGTCAAATAGAAACGTCTAATAGTGTGCTTACAGCGCAGTTATAAAAATTCTAATTTTCTGGGTGCTAATCTGCTAAATAGTACATTTTGGGGCCTGCTCTTCATATCTGAGAGTCAAACCGAAGCGTCTAATAGTGTGCTTACAGCGCAGTGGTAAACATTCTTATTTTCTGGGTGCTAATCTGCTAAACAGTACATTTTGGGGCCTGCTCTTCATATCTACAAGTCATGCTACAACAAAATTAAACAAGTTTTAAAATATGTATGGGCCAACCAGTGGCTGTAAAAACAAAGTTTTACTGGTTACATTCATGACTACACACGCTAGTGAACAGGACCTTCATGTAGTGTGTTTTTTTTTTTTTAAATCATACAGCATCCTTTCATGTGCTTTTCAGATGTCATACTGTGAATTACCAATTTTTGTGTAGCCTGTTTTTTTTTTTTTTAACGTGAAAAATAAGTGTTATTGTGATCGCTTCATATACAGAATCATTAATATACATTTCTATATTGTGTAAGGACACAACTAAAAAGTTAAAAACCAAACACCAAAACAACGTGCCAGACAATCTACCTGTGAATAGCTAGTGTGATACAATAAGTCTACATCTTAAAAATGCAATAACCCACAGAAGATGGGTGAGAATTTCTTTTGCAAATGGAACTTTGATTCAAATTTACTACATCGGTCACTTGTAAAATTGTTTCACACCTACAAAACTTGTTACACAGATCTAAGTTATAGAAAACAGATTGATATTTTCTGCACTACCAGATAACAAGCTGCTATATTTAAACCAGTTATCAATAGCTATGAGGTACTTAAACAATATTGTAATTCTGGGGCAATACCCTCACAAGTCAAACTGAGAGGGTCAGTTTATAGGGAAAACTGTTGCCTGGATACAATTCTAAAACAATTTCCATATGTCCTTTGCAGACTTTACATGCTGGAAAAACACAGGAGCCAACTGCTGTGGCTTTCTGCAGTGTGCATACCGGCAAGGAGGGCATGGTTGAGGAGTGGGTGGAAGATGATGTGGAGGATGATGAGGTCCTAGACCCCACATGGAATCAAGGTAATGTGAGTGACGTGTGCAGTTTGGAGGAAGAGGCGCACAGAGGCACCAGCACAGCATAAGAGAGAGCAGGGTGCAAAAGCTCATCGGCATGTATTATCTTTAGAATTCCCACAGTTATCCAAGTAACAGTTGAAGCGATAAAAAGAATCATAACAGATTTAACGAGCCATTCGCAGCTTCGCAGTCCGGTGAACGGGACCAAGACACTGTTTGGGCGGCGGTCGGACGACCAGGACCCAGAATGCATGATGTTGAAGTTAGGAGTCACAGTGTGGAATGGATTAGCAGGGTCTGGTGCAGGGTAACCGCATGCCCCCTGGTGTTGAGCACCAGCGTTTGTGCGGCCACATACCAGGACCCTGATGCAGCTTCAGTAAAAAGAGTACTGGATTCCAGAAGCCATCACCAGACTGATCCGCAACTTCGAACAGGATGTCACTGTAGCGGCTGTGCGCGCTTTCTGTGTTCTCACCCTGCTGCTGCTCGCCTGTCTGCGCTGCAGCGCAACTTCGGCCTTCCCGCTCACCACCACATGAGACTGGGCGAGCAGCAGCAGGCGATAGTGGAGTTTCAGCTGCAGCACACACGGGTCAGTGGCTCTGCACCAGACTTCCCTCCAATTGATCAAAGTTAAAGGATTTTAAGTGGACTCATTACAATTAAAGGGTCTCTAAAGAGTCCTGTATTGTTATTTGTCGTCACTACCTTCCCGTGTTGGGAGTGGGTCACTTGCGCGCCTGCTGCCTTCCTTGCATGTGCTAGCCGTTTCTCAGGGTCCTTGTATGGAATGGAACCCTGATTCCCCGTTACCCATGGTCACCATGGTAGGCGCAGAAACTGGCATCGAAAGTTGGTATGGATGACATCCAAATGCAAAGTCGCCGTCACGGGGATGTGCGATTGGCCCAAGGTTCTCTAGAGTCAACAAAGTGCCTGCGCAACTATAATGTCAATAGCGGAACAGAGTTGTCTTTATTATATGTCCCATTATTTTGGGGGTGTTACAGACTGCCATTTGTAACTGTTATTTTATTTGACAAATTGCCCTGCTTCCCTATGTTATGGAGAAGCCTAATTGCCAACCTTCTGCCCCATGACTATGGGCCTAGTGGGTATGGCGATTTGACTGTATTTGTGGAATCTGAGCGCTGTTTGGATATATTGAGCGCTCAGATCCAAGCCATCTGGGGATAGGTTGAATGTGGGCGTTCTGTTCTGTATGATAGGAGTTAGGTATTTATGTGTCTTTTTGTGTCTTTTGCTAACATGTGGTTAATGGAGTCTGCCTCTATCCCTGGATATAAGTGGATTATTTTCCCCATTGTCTCCTGGATAGAGGGCTCTGTAAAACCGGTTTGGGCCACATAACCATGCTGCCAGCCAGGCCCCAAAAGATACTTTTGCTAACTTTTGAACCCCTTGTCTGATTTGTGCCATTTTTTAATATGTTGCTCCCCTGAATGGATTGATTCCAAATATGTAATTTTTATGAAGATTGGATGTGTAGTTTTAAAGTTATAATACATGTATAAAAACTGTATTTTTACTGCCTGTGTTTAATTATGTTAAGCATTGTGTGCCATAATTAGATCACAGGCAGAGGGGAGGATTTTTGTGTGTAATTGCTGGGAGTGTTTCTGTAATGTACGTTTATGATTGGTTATTCTGTAAACCCCTTTGGGTGGTCCTATCTCAGGGAAACCTGCATAAAAGAAGGCCCTTTGGTGCCAAGTAAACAGTTCTTCTTGACCATCAATACGTAGCCTTGTCTCGTTATTGGAGGGAACTGCTATATCACACTGGGGATTGCTATGCTCTACATACTCCCCTGAGCTTTTAATCACTTAGCTCTTTTAAGAGCTGTTCCTGTTATGCTCTCCTGGAGGAGAGGTCTTCCCCACACGGTCCTGGAGGACAGAAGCTGATCCAGGGTGGAAGGAAGACGGCAAGACTCCAGTTAAGCTACGGCGGTTGTGGAGTCTGCGGTGGTTGTGGTGTCTGCTGCAGTGTTTGGAGTCCTCAGGAAGCGCTAGGAGCATCCATCAACGGAGGGTACCCGGTCGGAGTACAGGGAGCTACGTTACAGGGGGCTACCCCAATTAAAATATATATATATATATTCATCCAAGTAGGTAGCTGCACTCACGGATTATAAAAGTCCAAAGTTTATTGAAAAATTGTTAAAAAAACAGCGATCAACGTTTCAGTCCTCTGTAGAGGACTTTCATCAGGATCCTGATGAAAGTCCTCTACAGAGGACTGAAACATTGATTGCTGTTTTTTTAACAATTTTTCAATAAACTTTGGACTTTTATAATCCGTGAGTGCAGCTACCTACTTGGATGAATGGATAGACAGCCGTTTTTTGTCTGCACCCGGTCACTAAGGGATATTAAAGCGTGATTGCAGGAGTATTTTGTATTTTTTTATATATATATAAAACAATGTTGGCTACCTCATCCTCCTCCTCCACCGCCGCTTCCACCTACACCGCCACGGCCACCGCCTCCTCAACCTATGGGTCACTTAGTATAAATTATGTACACAATAGCAGAGGCTTGTGAAGGCCTTTTCTCCATGCATCAGGAGTTGAGTATTTCTCCATGCATTAGGACTGCAAGAAATGCACCGCAGGCCACAAATGTTTCTTTTTGTGTATGTCCCAATATTTTGTGGGCTACCACAATTTAAAAAAAAACCCATAAAAAACAGTGTTGGCTACCTCATCCTCCTCCTCCACCACCACGGTCACCGCCTCTTCAACCTATGGGTCACTTAGTATAAACTATGTACACAATAGCAGAGGCTACCACAATTGAAATAACTATGGCACAATTGAAATAACTATGGCCTTTTCTCCATGCATCAGGAGTTGAGCTCAGTTTGAACAATGAAAGAGAATACCCTGCACTCCAACCCTCTCTAAAATGGCTAATTCTGGTGATCCTCCTGACAGCCATGCTTTAGATTTTGATTTATGTTCTTCCAAAGCTAAAATCAAAGATTTCATCTAGTGCTATTTTATGGCTCAGCTATATTTTTAATTTTTATGTTATTTTAAGTGATTTCCCTATCCACGTTTGTTTGCAGGGCACTTGTCCTTCTCTTATCCCCATTTTACTTCCTTTTGCAGCCCTCTAGCCCTTTCCAGGAGTTTTTTAGAGGCATTTTTGTGCCCAAAAGTTCGGGTCCCCATTGACTTCAATGGGGTTCAGGTTCGGAGTCCAGTTCGAGCACGAACCCGGACTTTTTTTCAAAGTTCCGCCGAACCCGCCGAACCCGCCGAACCCGGACATCCAGGTGTCCGCTCAACTCTAATCAATATCCTTCTGGAGATACAGTCTCCAGTACTGCACACAATACTCCAAGTGAGGTCTCACCATTGTTCTGTATAATGACATGAGCACTTCCCTCTTTCTACTGTTAATACCTCTCCCTAAACAACCAAGTGTACTGCTAGCTTTTATGTCCGAGAAACCTTGGGCTTTTATGTCCGAGATGCATTATCTTGCACTTATCCACATTAAATGTCAGCTGCCACAACTCTGACCATTTTTCTAGTTTACCTAAATCATTTGCCATTTGGCTTATCCCTCCTGGAACACCAACCCTGTTACATATCTTAGTATCATCAGCAAAAAGACATACCTTACCATCAAGACCTTCTCCAATATCACTAATAAAAATATTACAGATCCCTGAGGTACTCCACTGGTGACTATGCTTCGAATATACTCCATTGACTACAACCCTCTGTTGCCTGTCGCTCAGCCACTGCCTTGCCCATTCAACAATGTTAGAATCCAAACTTAAATGACTACTATAGGCACCGAGACCACTTCAGCTCAATGAAATTAAAAAAGTTTCAGAGAAACTGCTATGTTTACACTGCATGGTTAATCCACCCATTAGTGGCTGTCTCCCTGACAGTCACTAGAGGCGCTTCCGCAATTTACACCAAGTAAATCGCACTTATTTGACCTCCAGCGTCAAAAAAAGATCCCCATAGGAAAGCATTGAGTGGGTGGTTTTGAATGCGTGCACGCGTCTGGCTGCGCATGGGCATTTGGCTCCACTCGGGAGCTGACGTTAATTTAGGAGGAGAGGTCACTAGCGCCGAGGGAGCCCGGAGCTGGATTAAGGTAAGCAGATAAATGGTTAATTAACCATTTATTCGCCACAGAAGAGGACCTTGTCACCGAAACGTATTTGTACTTGTATTCCTAATGCTATAGTGTTCCTTTAAAGATTGCTGTTTATTGATAAGTCTTCTATGTGCAACAGTGTCAAAATGAAATCTAAGTAAACAATTACATAATGTCTAAAATAAATTAACTTTTTCATCTGATTCACATAGAAAGGCAGATGGTATATTTATTTGTTAGTTTCATCTCCGTACTGTATATCATTTTCAATGTCAACATTATGCTATTAAAACGAATACTATAATAAACTGACACTCAAATTATATAAACCATTTTACTTATTTATATTCTAAAGGGTAACGATAATCTCTTTTAGAGATAGTCATTTTGAAAATGTTCACATAATCCATAAACTTTATTGAACATTAGACTGAGATTTGTTTACCATTGTAAGAGCAGTATTTTTAAGTATGAGTGCTTGGATTTATGCATATAAAGTGGCATGAATGTTAGTAGATGAGATGTATAACATGATATGAATACTATTTCCTAATTAACCATAAAGAAAATGATGTCTCAAGGCATAGTCTCAAGGCATAGTGGAATGATCTCAATATTCATTGCATATGTATTCATTAATTAATACTCTTACAACACAGTTTCTAGAATAAATAAGTCCTTAATTTAAAAATGTAGCTTACTTTTATTATTTATATTATTATGCACAATTATGAATATTTAACAAAAGGGCTTGGAAATATTGTCCATTGACATAAATTAGCTAGAATTTCTTCTTATTTAATTTAGTTCAAGCTAACCTCAATCATGTTTACAGATGATGGATTTTCATTAGGGTCATTTCAGTTTTTCATCCTTGGGCTGAACTGCAGTTCAGTCGAGTTCAGACCGATAAGGGGATCAGTGAAAATTCTGATTTTCAAACAGCCACATGCTAGAATGTAGGAGAAACCGATTCTTGCAATGCCTAAATATGCTCATTTTAATTCATTGCACTAGAAACAATGGGGTGGGAGCTTAGTTGCCATTACCTCAACCACTATTAGTGTTCAACCTCAGGATAGTGAGATTAGTAGCATGTCCATTATGTCTGATTCACCACCCAATTGGATTTTTCAGCCTTTTCACACTGCAATACATTGTGCTGCAGCTTCCACTGACACTGCAGCTCCTTCTACCATAGCTACATTAGTGTATTTGGTTTTATGCTGCCCTAGGCATGACTAAATATTTACACCCCAGAATCTAAATTTGCTGTACCTCTTCCTGTCAAGGCTGCACCTCTACCTGTTTAAGACCAACACACACTTGGACTGACAGATACACGTCTTCACTGATACAAAGACTAACATACACTGACTGACACACACTGGCACACCCACTCACTGACAGACTCACACTCTCACATACACTGACGTATGCTCCTTGACTTAGACACACCAACATTCACACACCCTAATTGATTTGACATACTCTGATAAATACATACACATCCACTAACAGTCGCACACACTGACAGACAAAGACACAAACTCACAGACACACACATATAAGGACATCCAGTGTCACTGATTTGACACACACTAACACACACACTCACAAACACACACACTCACTGATTTGACACACTCTGACAGACACACATTTACTAGCACACACACAGACACTCACAGAAACACACACACATGCACTCACTCACACACACCCACTGACAAATACTCACTCAGAAACACACATACACACATACACTGACACACACTGAAAGACACACATACACTGACACACACTCAAAGACACACATACACTCACTCAGACACACACACATTCACTGACAGACATGCACACACACATACTCACACACAGATTTTCTCATACACTCACAAAATATAATTTTTTTATTTTGATTTAAGTCCACCATAAGGATAGCTAGAGTAGATTATTTCCGTAAAATTTACT